ATGATTATTAAATAAATTCTTCTATAAGCTTCGATATGAAGACTTAATACTCTATTGAAAAGATGGAGTATTAAATAATTCCTTAATTATGCTCAACAAAGTACTTGTCGAAGGTAGTAACCATTTGTAGCATCAATAAACAATTCCGACTAGAAATTTACCCCGTTGTTCTAATCAGATTGATCTTGATCAGTCACCTGGTTTGTGAAAGGTGATATTGTCAGGCCCTGATAAGTTACACAGCGCGATGTGACATTAGAATTTTTTAATAATTATCAATAATTAGGATCTTATTAATAATTAAGATTTGCGGTAACATCACTTTATATAAACTAGATAAATGATTAGGATCCATCTAATGAAGATCATACGATAAATTTATAGCTACTCTCTTAAAGTAAATCAGTAAATAGTCACTGATATCAGTTAAGTGTAGCACTGAGCAGTTTCAGTGCTGTACTTATAGTTGCAAATCAGTGTATATTTACTGCTTTTAATAATGTTTCACTGATTCACTTTAAGAGAGTAGGATAGTTTATACAACGTTGCATCTCGAGATTCTCCATCGAGTTCTTCAAGTCCGATGAGATTGACAGTCGACGCAAAACCCAAATATCGATTCGAGTGTACAGAACTCTTCACAGTTCCCCGTCGTATCGTTGATCGTCGTTCAATCTCTCGTACCCGTCGTGAAAGTTTTAAGCAAACAGAGAATATTCGCGTACTTGTCGAGATTTTCATTTTGATGCGATCCAATTATGCGGCTAAAATGTTTCAGCTGGTTTTACTTCGTAAAAAACCAAGTAATCAAATTTGACTACGACAGGATCGTGTACATCGTATTAAAAGCGTTCTGCTGTCGACTGGTGACGTAAGAATCGGTTATATTTTCGGTGCGATGACTCGCGAAGTGGAAGTTCGAGCAGAAGTTTTATTTGTGGGCGACGTTTGGCCGCAGGGTCTGAGGATTACGTAAGGAGCCGAGACGTTCGGTGAATGTTTCCGAGATACCGCAAGGCACAACCGGACGTCGTTTTCACAAATCCAACCGCCCGTCCGTCGGCGAGTCGGGGGTGATGGTCGGCGTGTTTTCGCGATCGACTCAAGAATGTGATATATTTTCTGTGTGTGTCGAGACCTGAGGAACTCTGAATATTTATAAATGCCGTGGAGACCGACGACGGATTTATCTCGCTTGACATTTAACCGAGGGGACAACATAGCATGCCGCGTTATCGACGCGTATGAACGCGCGCGTATAGCACGTCGTGGTGAAGTACCATTGTACTCCGGCGATCCTGAAATTCTCTGGAGTTCACGACGCTTCACTCGCAGGATCCTTGGATCCTGGCCAAACACCTGACATAAATTTGCGCGAGAGACAATACACGCAGCGGTGTTCTCGCGCCGCTGCAAAATTTCGCGCACTTCAGACTTCCCGTACTTCTTTTTTCAATTAACTTAATTATTGTACTCCCGAGTAAGCGGAACACGAGCCGTTCATTTCTGACTCATTATCATGCGGATACCGACTAGTCGCATCCTGGACAACCATAGTGTCCTTCGTTTAGTTTCGCAGGGACAATGGCTGACCCACATCTTACCCGGATCTGGTTTCGCCCCGGACCCGGTGATTAAAATTTCTTGCTATCGTGCTGCGCAGCATTTCGTGCTGCGCAGCATCTCCTGCTATGCATCTGCAGCGGGGTCGTTTGCACATTAAAAAGTGGATCGCCGAATCGATTTCGAATTAGCGCATTGGGAACCGATTCCTCAAAATGTTCGTGTGTAAAACATTTCAGCGCGTACGCGACGGGAATTTAATAGTGAAAATTATTCTAGGACCTTGTAATCGAGGAATAGATTAACGTTTTGCAGATAATTCAACCTATCTTTTCATTTCATACATGTCTCTCTCTCTTTCATTGCTACTTATATTTTACTGAAATATACTATTAAAAAAACACTTGTTTTGCTTCTTAACGAAATCTACTATGTTTTTAGCAAAGTTTTTTATGTTTCTTAACAAGATAGACATGATTAACCCTAGAATCATAAGCATCAAAAATATAGACTCTATGCATGAGTTAATTTTATCCGCCGCATTTTCATTTGCTCGTAATTTCAGAAAAAATCGTCGAAATATTTGTTTTGAATCAATATAGAAAATATCGAGGAATATAAATCCATGAATGTTTTTGCAATTCAATGAAGCTGAAAAAAGTTATTAAAAAATATGCTCTTAAGAACGGTAACATGTGGAAATTTGGCCTGGATACATTTTATCCGCGTTTTGGGTTCTACATTTTAAAAGTTTATTCCTGAAGTATTAAAAACATAGCAAAATTGAGAAAAATTCAGACGAAAAAAAAACTATAATATTCTCCCTGTATAAGACAAAAAAATTTGGAAAGACGATCGGATTGAGATTGGCTTATGAACTTAAAATTAGCTTAGATCTCACATCGTCGTGCATAACGAATCATCTTATCTTGTATTTCCAGATGTATGCAGATGCGTGCAGCAATACTAAAAGATGATATATGACTTATGCGACCGCATAAGTCACGTATCATTCTTTATAATGGCTGCCTTATTTAGACAAAAAGCCGAATAACGGAAAAAATAAGGAATTTCTAAAAATTGATGAAAATGATCAATTCTCGCGAGAAATGAGAGAAAAAATTGAGAAAGCGGATTTTTGTTAAAAAGAATCTGACTCTCTTGAGCACCGTATCAAATTCGTATCCCGAAATTTGTGTGTATCCGCGCGTATCGAAGAGACAGCGAGTGACTGAAATATCGTTATTAACCGGATGAGATATTAGCTAAGGTAGATAACACTGTTTGATTTACGGGCATAGACGGTATCTATTTTTCGCCTCGGAAAATACAGCTTTCCACGTCGACGACGACGCGGAAATGGAGCCGGGACACTTTAGATCGAGCTGCATCGTCTTCGTGCCGAAAATATAGAGTAGCATTGCGCCCGGGAAATTAATCGAGAAGCGTTATCGAAATTTCGACATCTATATTGAATGCTTTATTGTTCTGCGCGACGTTTTATTAGTCGGGTCACTTCTCACTTGCGGCATTGTTACCAAAATATCAAAATGTCTTGAATTGGCCTAAAAAATTTGTGTTTTATTATAAATTATACGTCAATTTAACGAAAAAACTAACTTACGTTCAATGCACTTTAACAATCACGCAATGCCAATGTAATATGATAATTCGATTGCATGTCAGTTTGTGCACGAACTCTGTTTACAATTATGCATATAAATAAATACTGCGGTTTATAATTACATTTCTCTCTTTCTCTCTCTCTTTCTCTCTCTTTCTCTCTCTCTTTCTTTCTCTCCAGTTTTAATCCTTTTTGTTATTTACGTTTCAGTCCACTTTGAAAAAGTAATAAGTACATTTGCATTCTTACTGAGTGCAAGCCGGAAATATTGTTATCAGCGTTTCATTAAATGCACAACCGGAGTATATACCTCGCACTCACGGATGTTGATAAGGGAAGTTGCGAATGGAATATGCATTCGCCGGCAGCGCTAATACTGGAGATATTAAATTTGTCAAACACGCTGCTCGCGCGTATGTGCGATCCGCGAAGAGTAAATAATGTATATATATATATATATATATATATATATATATATATTATAAATATGTTTACTTTGTACCGGCAATCTCGCCATATTTAGTGTTAAAGCGACTACGTGCCTTTTCGTCAACTGTGCGACACCGCGAGACATTGTAATTCCCTCTTGCTGCCGATAACGAGACGCGAATTCCACTTTGACGATGCAACCGAGAGATATTCTCTGAGGATCGTTCTCTCCATAGTAGTTTAAACTGAGACTTTTTGCAGTTTAAATTCTAAGTTTAAACTGCTGCTGAAAAATCGGCATGTAGCTCAATTGTCATGTAGCTTGGTTAAATTCGCGAAAACGCGTGGAAAGTCGCATCGTCCGTCGAGTCTCGTCTACGTCAATTAGCATACCTTGTGTTATTTACTACCGACGTATTGCGGATATACTCTGCGCAAGGAAGACGCGCGTAGACACGTACGCATAGATTTTGACGCGTGCATGCGTATTTGCGCTACATCTCGCAACCGCAGCAACGGTTCCATGTGGCAATCACCAGGAAGATGATAACACGCGTCGTCAAATGTTGACCCAAGTTTTTCCCTCAGATCCGCCTAAGTCTCACAAAGATAATAAGAAGCGATTATATTCCGCATACGTAAGCAGATACGATTACGTAGTTGATTCGTTTCGTTTTTCCTCAAAGAATAAAAAATTATACTTCTTCCCATCTATTTTCACATATTCGCGCGACTGTGGATACCACAAATGCGATATCAATCATTCAAAGTATTCGATAATTTCCCCAAGCGACACGCATATATCATGGGACACGTTGCACGTTAATTGCACAGGGAGCACGTACGTCTGCAGTGGTTCGTATTAGCATTAAAGAGACGGCCGCATGGCCGCTCGTAATGAGATTGAAACGCCGCCGTTAAGAGAAGGCGTCGCGTGCCTTCTGCAGGCACGTGATAAGTTTTGCAAACGTACGATAAGGTTCCGCGAGCGTTGTACACGCGACAGGTTCGCAGAGGGGGGCTCGCATCGCGAAAACCTGCCAGCGTGATACGCTCGCGTACAGGAGGAGTGGGAGCAGCAGGGTAACCGTTGAATGGTGTTGCGGATTGCAGTTCTATACGGTTGGGACGGAGCAACACCTGAGCGAGAGACATAAATCCCATCACAATCCCATTTAATCCCGCACGCGTGAACAGACTAGCGGATGACACACTCCCTGCCGCTCCCACTGCCGTCCTCCTGGTGCACCGAGTTTCTCGAGGTAGACGACCGTCTACCTCGGCGAGGAGATGAGAAACGCCGGTTGCAGCACAGCGGCGCGCTGCGGCGGCGGGTCCGCAGGTGCGGTTCGCGCGGGTCAATGTTACAACGTCAACAACGCACCTTCTGATACCTCCTGGTCGCGGTCAGGCACGACGCGGCACTCAGCGCACGGCTCACCTCGTACCACCTCACGACGAATATCGCTCGACACGATGCCGCCGCTGCCATTGCTCGCGAGACAACTCCTCTTTTCTTCTCTTCACCACAGCCTTCGCTCGCCTCGCGCCGAAAAACGGGGAGCAGCAGCTGAAGACGCGGCGCCGGCCGAGTACGTGTGCGCGGCGCGTTCACTCGAACCCGCCTGTCTCGCGTTCTCACGAGTTACCGGAGCAGCGACACCTGCCTGCCACCGTCGCGGAGGGACCAACGGCCGGCTCCGAACGACTACCCGCCGCGACGACGGGTGGCATCGCGCGCGCCGGCTCGTCCCTGAGCCGAGACCACGACCTTGCCGCAATCGACTACGTGGCATGCGCATCGCACTTCGCTCGATTCACATTGGCTGAAGTGCGCCGCCTTTGCTGTCCGCGGCACCGTTCGAACGTTCGAAATGCAACGCACGATATTCATCGGATAAAAGGTCGCGACACTTTTATCTTGATGAGCTTCCCAACAGGTTCTGCGCTCAACAGGAGAACTCGTTCCTTACTTTCTACAGTAAGTGTATCCTTCACTAAAATGCTACGCACGTGCAACTGCTGATTCGGCTAAAAATATGGCACTGCAATCGAGAAAATCTCGCTGAAAGAATCAGTTGATGCTGGTGACTGTTTCTATTATTGATGCAGAAAGTTAAATTTGATACAGCATATAACGAATATTTGTACAACATATAGATTTTGCAGTGAAATTTTACTTCCGCTGGTCAAAATCAATGAGATATAAAATAAAGTAGCAAAGTGGGGAAAGTGTGTTTCCAAAATCAGTACTTACGTCACCTGACCAAGTCATTATGCCTCACCATTATAATTAAAACACTTTTAAATAATTTTTTACTTTATGCACTTATGTGCAAGCATCATACAAAGAAATCATAACTGAAAATCATACAAGCATCTAAGAAACGGTATGGCCTACATGATGCAGACTACGTGAATGCTTCGCTTCTCCGTTCGCGTTTCGCGACTGATTCGCGCCAGTTTCAAAACCGGCGGCTCGCGTCGCATTTCCAATTTCGACGCTGTATATACGTTCACGATTGATTCTCTCCTCTGAAACAATAGATAATCGAGTTACGCGCGTGCACGTTGTTTCGTTCGCACTTCTCATCGGCTGCAGTCCCAACCTCGGCGAGATAACGTCATCCTCGCGTGCGAAATGTACACGATCTCGAAGCGCAACTCAGTTGAGCAATATGATAACGTGACGAGCTGGAAGCCAACTTCTAGATCGATTTCTCGATAAGCAAGAATGCCATCCGGGACTAAGGACTACTTCTACGCGGAGAACTACTTCGACTACGCGGTTCAATTGCGTTCGTTCAACAACTACACCAGTATACCGGAGACTCACGTCGGTCACTGGAGCTCGTTGACTCGCATTGTCTTGGTGATCCTGACGCGCATCGGCTTCGTCCTCGTCCAAATCGGCAGCGTGCCAGTGAACAACGTTAACCTGATCCTCCTGCAAAATGTGGTCGATCTGTGTTGCGTTACCGTCATATACTTTCTCACCGGGTTCCTCATCGCCTACAACGGCGACCTGGCTGGTCTCACCGGCCAAGGTCGCTGGATCGGCGACCCCACGATCGACAAGGATGAAGCGATTGTAGGCTGGCAAGCGGTGGCGATCACCTCAGCGATCTGCACCACCGCTGTCGTCGGCAGGATCCACACATTAGGATACCTGCTGACGGGTGTCGCCTTGGCGGGCTTGATACAGCCGCTCCTCATCCATTGGGCCTGGACTGCCAACGGATGGATGACTGAGAGCAATTTGGCTGACAGGAGAGTCGTCTTCAAGGACTACGCTGGCGCGGCAGTAGTTCACGTAGTCGGAGGACTCTCCGGACTGATCGGCTGCGTCGTCCTCGGCAGGAGGATGCTCAAGCTGAGGGATCTGGACGACGCGAGCATTACCGCCGGCTCTGCCGGGACTGTTTTTGGGGGACTGCTATTGATCTTTGTCGGACTGCAAGTAAGTGTCGCGATACTTAAACTCTCGTCACATTCACCACATCGTGGTGAAGTGAAAAGCGCAATGAAGTGCAACTTAACAATGTTGATAGGGCTTGTGCACCAGAACGTACAGTCATGACAGGTTCCGCGTGCTCGAGCGAGATCCGTCGCACGCGTACGTTAACAATCTGCTGGCTGCCTCGTCGTGTTCGCTGCTGATCGTGGCCCTGCACTTTGCACTTAGCCGGGAAGCCTTCAATCATTGGACAGTAATGCGCTGCGTCCAAGGGACGATCGCCGGTGTGGTCGCGGTGTCAGCTGCGGCGAACGATTATTCTCCGCAAGCGGCGATCGGCTTGGGTTGCCTGGCCGGCGTTGTGTTCTACCTGATCTCCAGGCGGGTGTTTCACAGCGCCTTGGAAGATTACTGCAATGTCACAGCTATACATCTGAGTTGCGCAATTCTCGGCAGCCTCGCCGCGCCGATCTGTGCTGCGCGAGCCGATGAGGATGTCGCGACGATATTGTTGAACTTCTCTTGGCATCTGATCTGTCTGGTGACCCTGCTGACTTTGGTCGGCACGACAATGTTGTTGCTCTTCGGCCTGCTGCAATGTTGCGGTGTACTTCGCAACAGATCGGAATGCTTGAATCATGTACGGGCTAACGCCGCGATGGACAGAGGCCCGCCGCGTTCGTTTCTGCAGAGACTCTTTTTCCCTGACAGTGGTTGCCTTTACCTGCAACCAGGCTCGACTGCTGGGACCGAACGCCAACCGAGCGTCGGTTCTAGGTTCTGGAAATATCAGACGGAGATAGACAAGCTCGAGGGAGGCAGACCCGTTGTTGCGGATAAGCCGGTTGCGAACGTCGAAGCTGAGGATAACTTTGCGCAAGTTCAAGCGCCAGGTGGGTCGTGAATTGCAACGTTAGTGCAAACGGTGCTTATTTCTGGACATTCTACCTTTGAAATATAAGAGAATGAAATAGTTCTTTCTAATCGAGATAATGCATTTTTTTACAGGAGCAAGAGTAAAGAAAGCGAGACAAGTACACACTTTATCCGTGAGTGCTCCAGTGTTTGTGAAAGAGGAAGGTGGTATTGGCGAGTCGATTAATCAGGATTTGCCGGAGATTGGGAAGAAATTGTTTCTTGGACGAGAAATCAAATACAGCTTGGATCCCATCGAAGAAATAGACGAAGAGGGTTCGAAGGAATTCGAAATGACGGAAAACACCTACAACGGAGAGAAGAAAAATTCAATATTGACGGAAAATTTTAACACACCCGCAGAATCCAAAGACCCGGAAAATTATCAGCTTCGTAGAACTGTAAAATTGACAAATTTGCATCACGAATTTAGCCGAGAAGATTTGAAAGTTGTGCTAGGACCGAGACGGCTGGATTCTTCATCCAGCGACTCGTGCGACGAAGACGGTGCCGTCATGAGGACGATGGACTCGAGCGAATCTAGGCAAAGCATCGCAACAAGCAACAATTCATCGTTTTACAGCGAGCATTAGGAGGATTAATCTCTCGCCAGCGCAAATGCGATTTCGTACAAACGCACAGAATGTATTTGCATGCAATGCAAATGCAGCGAACTTACCAAAGGGCCAAAAGCGGTATCGATTTCGCGGAACTAGAACAATAGAGGATATTTGTGAGGCTTTGAAGAAGGGATAGCTACGAGCCACAGGATACTACATGTTGTATCGCGCTGTTTCGAAATTGTTCCAGTTCCGGATTTCATACGAATCAAATTTTTAGTTGAACTAGATTGCATTTTTGCCTTTAGAGTAAAACCACTATGCAGTGCGGCATTGAAGGGAAAAAGAAAGGCATTTCCAATGCAGCATTAGTTCAGCTAAAAAAAAATAGTATTCGGAGGCGACAAAGAGAGTCGAGTAAATTGTGCAAAAAGCCACCGTGAGTGACAAAGAAACGATGTCTTAAAATTATAAAGAAGACACAATTCGAAGTGTGTATGTTGGAAACAAATCTGTATTGCGTCGCACCGACATCGATGCTTCTCGTTTTTACAAAACTGTCCGGTCCAGGATTTCTCAGTGCCTCTTTTATTAGAACTTACGACTATTCGTACAGTTATTACAGTATTTTACAATAGAGTAGTCATAAGTTATAAATAATTCAAGATCCTATCCCAAAGTGTCGTACACACATCCTACGCACGGCTTCGTTCGTTCATTCGTTCGCACAACGATGGCATTACTTCCTGCGTGACAGTCTATTGGAACAGAATATTTACAGAATGCTCGCCATTCCTGTGAGTTCTTACGCGGAACAAATGCACCCGCGGAACATCGCAGCAGTTAGCAGTCCGTCATCGCTGATCAATGGCAGTGCCTGATATGCAATTGTGAAGTTTCGAGTGGTGCTGATTAATTTGGAGATAGTATATAATGGAACAGAAAGATGAATAAATAAAGAATGTTCCAATACTTATGGTGAAGTTTCTGATTTCGTGCAAGAACCCGATAGCGTTCAGACACTGATCCTACATAATGTGTGCAATAATTTCGTTATATTACTTAACTTACTATAATTTTTACTCCTAACCGCGCACCTTTTTACCGTCACGATATGTCAATATTATAAATTTTAAAGATACAAAGGTATATTTTAAAAGAGTGAATCAGTGATGATGTAATGCTAGCCGTTGATGCCACTCACACACACTCTCTCTCTCTCGTGTGAGCGCCGACAAATTCCACGGGGTTATTACCTATTTTTTTGTCATTATCTCGTTATTGTCAGGTAGTAGCAAGCCGGACACTCGTTGCTATACCAAACGAAATTAAAGATATTGACTCTAGAGATCCGACGTCGCGATTGGTACGTTGATCGTAATAATTGTATATACAACACTGGTAAAATGGCACGATTCGACGAAACAGATCAATCGGTTGATAGAGTATCATTAGAATAACTACTATTATAATACTAACAATAAACTTTATACATGATTCGTTAAACATTACATGGCATAATTCAACGGCAGTCTGAAAACTAAAACAGTTTCTACAAAACATAACAAAAGATTCCAACACAACACGATACGCCCTTACCAAGAACAGAAAAAATGTTCCTCCCATTAAGACACTGGATTGCTCGTCTTGGACCGAAATCATCTAACGGTTCGTACAGAATCTGTACGTTTCTCCGTGTAAAAAGTGCGTCGGCTGAATGTTATGTGCAAGTAATCGCGCCACGCTTCACACTCTCCATGGACTCCTTATAATGTACAATCACGTGGTCGCAGATACAAATAGTATCATTAAAAATATTTGTACATTAGTTATTATGGAAGATGATATATATATATATATATATATATATATATATATGTGTGTGTGTGTGTGTGTGTGTGTGTGTAAATGACAAATAAATAAAAGCAAAATGCGCATTATGATCATATTTTTTGTTATCGTTTGCCTGGCCAGCAAAAGCTCATTGGTCTGATTTGATGCGTGTTCTCTTGTAGTAAAATATACAGATGTTGTATGAAGGTCACTCCAAAACGAGCAATTGCATACGCACATGTACACACTGTATGTACACATCTAAGAGATAAGATATACCGAAAAATAATCTCGAGAAGCCACAACATGGTCATTTGCATTTACTCGCTGAAAGATTAGCCTTACCATTTTTTACAATATTTATCAAACAAATATCTCATTAAATCAATGTACATTACGCGACAAACCGTATCAAATCTTGAATCTTCATAATAATTTTGGACACTTTATCAGCGAATAAATCTGTGCGGTGTGTCATGTGTTGCTCTATCAAACGCCGCACGAATCTCAAATCTGATAATAATCATTATTGCGAATGAACTTACGTTTGTTAGTCATATTCAAGAGATTTGAATACTTTTAAGCTCATCTCGAGTGCGCCTGATTTGATCATCTTGATTTCTTTTATGGTACATCTATCTTAACATCAAAATAATACATTACGTCAATGTACAAACGGACGCGATCACAAAACTTTTGTTGGCCTTTTTTATATCGCCGGTACCAAGAATAGTATTGTCAAAATATACATAGACTCCTTGTCATTGCCATCAGCATCGATCTCAGATACGCTTACGCAACAAGAATTAATATACACTGTATCTCCGAAAGTTGGCGGGCTCGAGGAAAAAGCTCGGAGCCCCGAAGTCTCACGCTCATATGGACGATCCGACGATTTGTGCAAAAAAAAAAAATAATGATCGATGAATCATCGATAGCGTAATTACTCATAATTAATCGACGATGAATCATGTTTTGATATATAAAAGAATAAAATTTCACAAAGTGACACAATTTGGACAAAAATCCAGCAATAATATAATTGGATTTAAAAATTTACACAATTGGGGCAAAAATTTAGCAATGATATAATTGGATTTTAAAATTCTAATTATTCATCGCATTACACGTGCATTCTTAATACAAAAAACTGATTTATTCATGAAGTATTTTTTCGTAAATATTAGCCTATAGGAAAATTTCTTTTGATATAAGAAATACAATTCGTAAAAATAGATTCGTAACCTTTTCGAAAAATTTCTTTTCAGATGACATTTTAATTCGAATAGAAAACTTCTGCATTTAACGATCTTTGATCAATCGTGTGCATTCGATAAATAGGACGAAAGGCGCTTAATTTATTACAATTAATGGACAATAGCATCAGTAAGCGTCTTATTTTTAACACTTTTCGCCTCTATGACGCGATGACAATCAAATGATACAATGATAATATAATGAAAGCAAATAATATTAATTACAGTGAAATTAAGAATGTTACCAATTGTAATAAAAAATATGAAATAATAATGAAAACTTTCGTAGTTCTATTAGCTTAACAACAATCGACAATTACAATGATCGACAATTACAATGATGGCTTCGTGAATAAAGCCGCTTAGTGACTAGCTTTGCAGGCTCCCCATAGATTAGGCCAGTCCACTGGGATAGGCCAGACATGGTCCTTCCTCTGAAGTTGTGGAATCCAGTGGGGTATCAAATGTACAATTAATTTACAGGTCTTCCGTCAGCAAGCGATGTATTTCGCTCACGGCGGAAGCGAACAAACGGGAAACGTTGGAGTTTCACGCGATCAGCGTTTGCTAGGTCATCACAGTGTCGGTGAGGTCTTCCTTCAACCATTGCGGGATCGTTCTGGATCCGAGTCGCTTCAATAGCTTCACCAGAGCCGTATTGTGAGACAGATAATACCTCTATAAAGAATATAATAGTTAAAACGGGTACATACATAAGCCAAATAAAAAAAATTATACTTCCCATAAGAATGAAAATAAAGATCTAGATGTTGGTCGCAATAATTGAAATCTTCGGGAGAATAAGATTGAAATGATCGCAACTTAATAAGATTTAAATAGAAGTAATATAAGCAAGATTTAAGTTATCGCACCCAACATTCAGCAACGGTTCTTGTCTTTCATTTTTACTGGTTGTTTACCATTGAAGCTTTTAATATCTTTGTTTGTTTAAAATATACCTGGTCTTACCTGTAACAATTTGTACGATCTATCTTCCATTGGCGGATACTGGCGACCTTTGCTTTTGCCAAGGCATTTAGTGCGATCCTCGTTAGTCACCTGGCAAAAAAAACCTTTCTTCGGGTCGTACCTCAAGTGCGAGGAATAATTGAAAGCGGGTGTGATCTTTAGGAATCGTTGCAGTTCGTGCAGCGTCTCCACGGGATTCTGTCGCAGCTGCTCGCCGTCGATAATGTGCAGTTGTTGCGGCAAGTAAAACGACAACCACCTTTCCAAATGCTGAGCGTACTTGCCGGGATTGAGACACCTACGTTCAAGCACAACATTTCGTTTAACACGCAATATACTGGAGACGCGGCACTTCTGTGTGATCTCAGCGCGTATTTACTCAGCGACGTTCCCGCGTCTATTCATACATTACCCAGGCTGGTGTGTGGTCTTAAGTCATTATTCACGTTCAGTTACGTACCTATTTCTAAGGTCCCGTAGGGGCTTCGGCGCGGAATCGCTCGCCGTGATGACCGAATGGAAGGAGTAATTGTTCGCTACCGGATCCCCGTGCACTCTGGTATGCTGGTACCATGAGTAAGCGCGCCTGGCTGGGGAGAGCAATATAGTGATTAGCTTGGCTCTCGGCAAAAGCGCGTGTGCCCTCCGCGGTACTAATTCTCCGTCGAAATAAGTGGCAGATTTTTCGAAGAGATATCGGGAACTCTCGTTTTTCGCCGTTGGGAAGAAGCTCATATACCTGAAAAGACCAATGTCAGTCGTATTTATGTTTCTTCTCGTCGCTCACGAGACTATGAAGATGCAACATATGCACAAAGATTAATATTCATGTTGATTCACCGGTTGACTCACCAATCGAGGCCCTTGTAGTAATTCTTCCCATTGAAAAACTGTATTTCCTCGAAGGTGTCGGGGCTCGGTAGATTGCTGCTTATCGCCGGATGAATAGAGAGGAATGTGTACAACGCCGTAGTGCCGGTTTTTTGAGGCCCAATCACCAGGAACCGCGGTAGTTGGTCGCAGGTTTTGTTGCGAGACCAGATCTTTTGGTGCCTCTGATCGTCGCATGGATTCTGCAAAAACGATATTAACACAGCGTGATGCGACGAAATCAGCGCAGTCGGATCGATGGATACCCGAAAATCTACTCACTCCCCACACCGGGTCGGCTTCTTCGGGATAGAGCTGAAAGTAACGTTCTCCGAGCTGAAGCGGAGGTGCGCTGGATAGCCTTAGATTCGTCCAACATTGAATGAATTTGATGACCGACTCGAAGGTGTACAACGCAAGTCGATCGTTTCCGTAATTCGACATGTGTGTCATAAAAATATTTATCTGTAAAAGGAAGAAGACAATTTACATTTTTCTTTACATATTACTGTCGTAATATCGTCACATTAAAGGGCAATCGATAGATAAAAACTTTAATCGATAGATTAAAGGGTAATCGGGATACGTTCGATAGTTCAGAATAGCGTGTCACTGAAATATTTCGAGCCACTATGAATAAATTGCGGTTAAAAGCAAGCGCCTGTAATATAGCAGCAGGGAAGATTAAACGGATTCAGTGCTAAAATTGACTTCGTAACGTCTGATTCACTCACCGGATTATACACAATCGTTTGGAAAAGTTCGCCGCCCTGTATCGACTCGTCCAGCTTTTCCCTCCCGCCCGGGTACCTGTCGATGAAAATTGTGTGAGTGAAAAGGCCGCAAGTTTGTCTAGGTAGGACCTGCAACATAAAAGAGGATATTTTTTACATTCAGCGTGTGGAGTGTGTGTTGAAAACTTTTAAATTATATATGAGAGATCCCGAAATATAAGATGAAGTCGGACATTACATGTATCTGCATATATTTCGACAATAAAAGTTGTATTTTTGACGTTGGAGTGAGATCGCTTTATATGTTTTTCGCAAAATAACATTTCGCGTATCTATATGTAAATGAGACCTTAATTAGCTGACCGAATTTTTGTCGATCACATGTCAAATTAGAAATAAAATGGAAACTTTCGTATCTCTCGGAAATCGCGTCACAATCCATAATTAATCGCGGCAGGAATAGCGCTTTCAATATGTTGCTCCACATAATTCGCGACATATTCTCGTCGACGGCATTTGATCGGAGCGGTGCGTTTAACCCGAGGGCACCGCCATTAAACGTTCTCTATACCGAACTAATTTGACTATCGCCACGTGATCACCTACCATAATATTACGATGAATGAAGCCCCGTCTTAAACGAGCCGGCCTCAGGTGCGGGTACTCTTCGGTGCTCGTGACCTTGATGTTCCAGACTCTCTTCCACGCTTCGTAGAGGCCTTCGTGAACCGGGTACACGCCGGAGTGATGCGGACTTACGCTGTAGCCGCTTCCGGTCGGTATACCGTGGTCCTTTGCGAATTGCTTGTTCAGTGCCATGTCCAATTGCAGATGAGTTACATTCTCGTACAGGTGCGGCTGTTGGTGATTCCACATGTGGGAAAACCACGTAAATCTGCAAAAGCCCGTTTTTGATCTTGTGCAAATTCCAACGAGGGCGCACACGCGAGTCCAGTGATATCGTGCACGAGAGCAGAAGTGTTCCTCACGTGCACGAAGGCGGAAATAACGTTTTGCATTGTTGAGAGAATATCAATTTGCAGTTTTGCAATTGTGGGAACAATAATCGTGCGCACGATGATTAATTGCGTCGAAGTCTCAGGCGTTGTTGTACAACGGAGCTTTGTCATGGCGATTTGCAGCGGCATTTGCAGTGAACAGTTGCGTGACGTGATGTGTTATAATACGTGAGATGTCGATGAAATTGTACATTTAATTTATTACGCGCTGCCTCTAAGCGCTCGCTTTGCAACAGTAAATTTGAGTAATGAAAGCTACAGCTAATTAGCGACCGCCACAATCGCGTACTCGCCGAAGCTACGCGAATCGATACGCGATACGCCGCGGCAAGTTAGTACACACCACATTTGCTCCGATCGCTTTCATACACGGCCAATATTTGCAGATCATACCTGTCTACGTTCTCCAGAAGCATGTCGTCCCCCAAATTCTCCTCCGCCGTACCGTGGTGAAAATACTTGCCGGAAAACCCCAAATTGAATTTGAACCCCGGCACGAGCGCTTGAATTCTTTGCTGAGTAGCTAGCAATGCCATCACGTCGTCCTTCTTCAGTCTGGTGCCCTTCTCGCCGACGAATATATCGTCCACGTCCACCAGGATCATGCGATTTAAACTGAGACTCAATTGCCCATGCGACAAGTAGGATAACGAGTCCAACAGTAGCAGCTTGTGCAGCCAGAATCGCAGTCCGCTGCCGAAAAGAATTCTTTGGATCCCGTCGAACCGGCCATGATCCTGTCGCACAAATATACAAAAAATAGTACTTGCATGTACACAAAAGTGAAAAATGCCGAAAGTATATATGTATACAAAGACACGCTAAAAATCAGATATAGTGACCCAACTCTCAGGGTTTCGTAAATTTTGCTGCACAAATTGCGCCATTGAGTCAAATTAAGTAGAAATCAAGTCAAATCGACAATTTCACGTAGCAATGTACAAATTTCAAAATTTAGTCAACAGTAAGTAAAAGTAGTCAAAGATTAACAAAATTAAGATGTAGGTGTTATGTATGATGTAAATATTTCTTTCAACTAATAAAAGGTCGATTTCACTGCATAATACGAATAATTTTACCTTTGGTTGAAAAGATCAAATAAATTAGACGATATACACGATGTATGAGTCAGCTTTATGATCGCCTCGTTGAGGCGAAATCTGTTAATTCAAAACTGAATTTTAAGCTTATTTTATACAAAAAAAAGAAGTTAAAAAGTCACAAAAATATTTTGTTGAAATAATTTGGTGAGTTCATTATATTCAACCCCGAAATTAAATTCGTTCAATTCGATTCATTTCAGCTGATCTCTTTTTTTATAATGTACACATCTTTTTCAAGACTTTTGAAGACCTGACACAGCCGAAAATCTATTTCTATTTTCCAACTAATCAGATGCTTACGCTCGCGTTACGTTATATATGCAAATTGCGGTTCGGAGCTGTTTACCACGTTGCACGGGAAATGTACATACAGCCAGGCCGATCAGACAAACGGGGTTGCCCGATAATAATCCCGTATCTAATTGCATCGTAATATCTCCAATTGACATTTTCGCGCTGAGAGAACCACAGAGAAACGATTATTTCTTCTCGATTTCGCGGCTGACGATTGTTCCATGAACGGAAGCGCGCAAGTTTCGCGCCAGGTTGTATAGGCAAGAGAACGCGAGCTAATCATCGCGCGTTAACGAGCATCGTTATTTTTCCTTCAACGAATGTGTGTGTGACGGAGTGCGCAGTGAGTAATCGCGAACGTCCGACGTGTTAATTGCATTGTTCGACAGGAACTCTCCGGTAAGCGGCGGCGTCGGCGGCGTTGGCTTCGGCAGTGAGCCGAGCTTGTTAGCAGTAAACAACAATAATAATCTCACGGATAACCCCATCATGTTGGAGAGGATAGGCAGATAGGTGGCGGCGCGGCGGAAGGATACGTGCGGATCGCGCAGGTAGCCAGGTGATTAAATCAGGAGCCAATCAGCCGTAGGCTCATTCGATTAATGAGCCGACTGCGTAGCGCCGCTTCATTTGCTACCCATTGGAACCGCCAATTTATTTCGGCTCGTTCCGTGCCCGCCGCAGTAGTAGTCGTCGTCGTAATCGTGTCGGAGAGTAAAACTCTGCTGACAGCACCACGCGATGATACGAAACGGGAGGGGGTTGTTGGAGCAGGAAGCTGTCGGGATATTTCCGGAATGCCGCGAATGTGAGACGCGACTCCCGATAAACCGAGCGCTGCGAATTGTCGCCATGTGACGGCGTCGGGGCGCACTTTTTCGCAAATTCGCGTCCCGTTATTTACAGAATCGAAGCGAAATTCACATCGCCCAATTAAGCGGAGAATTCGGGTCCGCTGTCGTCGTCCTACGAGATTTTTCGTATGATCTTATCGTATACGGCTGGGTTTCTATCGGCATAACGTAAACTCGTAGATGCGTTTCTCGATTAACTCTCGATTAATGATCTTTCGTTAGCGAAAATCTGCACAAATCAAGCAACGAGCTGGCCTCAAGAATCCAAATTTCGGAATTGTCTACCTTTTTAAAGAGTTTATTCATCAGGTATGTATTTTCAGGGCATCAAAGGAGCTTGTTTTCAAGGCAGTAAATCAAGGCAGCTATCTATTAAATTCATTATTTATCGAGAAAAATTATATTTCTATATATATATACTTTACTATCTAAGTAATACATTTATTTGAAATTAATTTCATGATACTACCTTGCCACGTTTTACTCAATATGATGTCGCTCAAAGCGTAAAACAACAGTTTCCTGGCCTGCTAACTATTACGCAAAAACGATGTAAATATTATTCTTTCTTCAATGTCGCATTTCCTAGTATTCAACATTTATGGCAATAATTTTCTGATCACTTTATACACAAAGTTATACTGGAATAATGGTTATCTATGTCGTTTCTACTTTACATGTTCGCAAAATTGTGATATTCAGTATTGAATTTCCCACGAACGGTGCAAATATGAAACTTTAACTACGAATGCGTTTCACTGCAGCAAATGTCACATTAAATTTCCGCACAATTCGAAGCACTTAGGTGAACAAACTCCTCAAATACCAAAGAAAGGTAAAAGAAGAAATTGAATAGCAAAGGCAAATAAAAAGAAAAATAAAAGACACATTCCATTCCTCCTCGAAGAGAGGAACAGAGAAAGCGAATGATCGTACGGGAAATATGTAATGGTGCCGTTCGTCGCGTCAATTGGTACCGCAGGGACTGAAAAGTTAACAAGAAGCTCCGTATCTATCTCGCAGCTCTCTGTCTAGGTGGTACAGAGATAAAGCGGTCCGACGGTGAGATATGCGTTCGGCGGGTGGATGAATGTCGGGACGGCGAGAGCGGGGGTGCGAGCAAGACATCGACGATGTAACGTTTTCCCGTTCTTCGTTATATCAGACGATACCTCGCGCGTCTGCCGGATGACCGCAATTTTCTTTATATCATCTGTAATTCGGCCGTTCGACGGCTGCTCTTTCTCTTTCTCTCTCGGACGTCTGCGTCCCCCTCGCGTTTATCGCGCATCATCGTTGTCGTTCCGCTTCTCCCTCCCAACTTCCGTGTCCGTTACGTCCGGAATCTTGTAGTTGCGAATTCCTGCACGAATGTAAACGCCGGTCGAGACGGCTTTGCGAATTGTTTCGCAGTCTCCCTCGCGCTTTACACCGCCCGGCTGCCGACGCCAGCCAGCGTCGGGATCCTTTCTGGTTCGCCGTTTCCCTTTTTATTTCCTTCTCTTTCTCTCTCTCTCTCTCTCGCGCCTCACTCCCCCGGCCCTTTTCCTCTCGTTTTCGCTCCCTTTTCTTTCCTTTCCTTCGCCATTCTTTCTCCATGTTCCTCTCGCCTACGTATATACGTGGCCACGAGCCGTATCGCGGAAATTCCACATTTGTTTTCGTTTTCCGGCGCCGCCGCCGCCGCCGCCGACGGCAGTCGAGGCGCAGGAAGGATCGTCGGGACGAGAGGAGCAGAAGAGAAAAATGAGGAAAGGCGAATGAGAGAAAATTGCGTGCGTACTTCGCGCTCGATATCGATGCGAAATTAATTGGCGATCGGTGTAATGAAAAGGGGTCACTTTCTGATGAGTTACAAAGGTTTTTATATACGAGATAAAAAGAAGAAAATATCAATGTAATTAACCCTTAAACGACAAGGTGAAATTATGGAACATAAATATTTTTTTAAGTTTATTTTCTTCTTTTGTATATTAAAATATGTATTAGAATAAAGAAACAATTACAACAATAATTACAGCAAATTCTTGTTAAATAGCAATTTAACAAGAACTTTTTTCACTGAATAAAAATATTTTTTTCGGCGTATATAGTGTTTGATCTTGGCACAAACATGACAAAGTTTTTTCAATAAATTGTATTGCAAAAATATGTATTGAATGGGGTTTTTGTTGCGCTCACATAGTCGTTTAAGGCTTTAAGGGTTAATGATACCATCGAAGGAAATTCTATCGGGACTTCGGTTTTTTTGAGAAAAAAGTACAAACAAAAGAATTTTCGCACAATGATTCGTCAAAGAATGCATGAATAAAAGCAACGGGAGCGGGTACTTTTCGCGATAACGTCGCGAGATGGATTTCACTCGCAGATGGCACAACGGTAGAGTCTTATCACATCGGTTAAGAGTCAACGTATGAGCTCATGCTTCTTATCGCGCGACATTTGAGACAGAGTCAGCGGGAGTCTCTCTCTGTCTTTCTCACCGTCTTTCTTCGCGGCAGGAATACTCGCGCGCCGTTACGAGCACGGGGGTGAATGAAATCACTGTGCGTATTGTTCCGGGCCCCGCTTTTGTTCTACCCCTAGCGAGCGGCGGATCTTATACAGCCACTCAGCTTCTTGTTCCCCGCCGAGCCGCCGTCTTTCTTCTTTTCTCTTCGTTACACGCAACCCTCCGCTAGTTCCCTCCGCAAAGTGAAGTGGCGTATCAGGAAAATTTCGCGTCTCCGGTCGGCTTTCTTTTTCGGCGTCGCTGTCGAGAATCGCGACGGTGATGGAGAGAGGAAGGAAGGCTTGGCTGCCTTTTGAGAGCGCTCGAGAGTTCAGGGATCTCTGTCGTCGTTCTCTCATTCTCTCTATCTCGTCACCTCGCAGAAAGGATAAGTGCATAACCGATGCGTCCTGGGATCGCGTCGTAATGGCCTCACTTATCCCGCACGGGCGGGGTTTTCTCCGCCAACGTGAAATGGCAGGGATCATCGTTAAAAATTATCGCGGCCGAGTCGCACCTCGTTGCGGAAGGACGATTTCCGAGGATCAGCGGGCGCCGAAATCGCGACGTTCACGGAGATACCTGCTGTAATAGAAGAGGCTCTCGCGAGGATCGTAGATTCTCGAGTATGGAATCCTCTTGTTGCCCCACGTGCCGCGAGAGTGTAAACGTCGCGCGGTAACTACTTGGCGAATTGTCCGTGTCTTTGGTGACTTTTCTTCTTTTTCCGGCAATTTCTACGGGGCTCTCCCCGGGGCCGACCGGGCGCCCTCTCGAGCAGCATGGAACTCCGCTCCGCGAGGAAATTCCGCGCTCGTTCTCGTTTTTCGAAATCATCCTCTTCTTTCCGGCATCCGGCAAGATAAGAGATCCGAGCGCACGGAGAACCGCGCGCGAGTTAATAAAGGATTCCCAAAGGATGCGCGCTCCAAGCTCTATGTAAGCATAATGGGAAGCGAGCTTTCAAAGTTGACATACGATAAACTAAAACTTTCGACTCGCACGATGCACAATGGGCTCAAATGAAATTTCATATTTCAAGAAAGACTACAGTCTGTAAATTTGAATCGATGCTATTTTTTTTATGAAAGCTAATGAAATTTAAAACAACTTTGCCAGAATGTTTACCTTTTTTTCTCTTCTTCTAAATCAAATACGTTAGAATTAGATCAATACAAAAATATTTTTCAGAATATATTTTACAGAAATATTTTTCAAACAATTCTGAAAAATGCGGGAGCTCAAAACTTGTTATTTTAAAAACAATAATCAGTAAAAGAATTAATAACACAATAGTAATAATTTAGCCTTACTTAATTCAATAGTTTTTATTTATCAAAATTTAGATACTATTTCAATTAATCTCATTTGTTATATAAATTAAAGTAAGATTTAGTGATTCTATGACAGTCTGTATAATTTTTATCAAGCCTTATTAAAGTTTGAATATTTGATTTCAATATCAATATTTGTGCCTAATGTTAAATTAGATGAGATGTAAAACGAGTTATCTACTGTTTGATTAAAAAACATTTCTGAATCTAACTGCTTTATGATTAATTTAGAAGAAGAGAAGCAAAAGAGAAAAACTCGATTCCATAAAGTGGTTTTAAATTTTATTAACTTAAAAAAAAATAATTAAAATCGATTCAAATTTCAAAGCTATAATCTTGTTTGAAATTTCATTTGATTCCACTGTGCGATGTCACGAGCTGCGCTAACTCTTCGACGTTTGTCGTGTGCTCGCGAGGGAGAGTACCTTCCCTTTGTATAAATTATCCTCAGCTTCAGAACAGGAGGAAATTTCTGTTACTCCAACAAGCAGACGAGTTATTCCTGCTGAACGGCGGCGTATTCGTGTAACGTTGAGGTCCAGTGAACGAGAGAGAAAATGATTTAAACGAGCCCCGTCGTCACCGAGTAGAGGAAACCGGGTCTAGATGGTCCCCTGGGGCATGTGCTCATATGCTTCTTTTAATATTTATCTTGAGAGCGACAGTGAATACAAAATCACGGAATAGTCTTTTTAAAACATACCCTCCCTGAGTTTCATTAACATCTGAGAATAATATTACAGTGAAAAGATATAAAAAAAAAACGGATTCAGTAAGTAAAAGTAAATTTTCAAGCTCCTCGAGACATTTTGTATTAATATTCTCCATCGTGAGTGAATAAAGTTAAGCAACGTATTACCAGCTAGAGTGAAGTTTCCTGCGAGCGAATGATATCCTGATGTTTGGATAATAAAAGCAGGTTTTATTCATAAAATAACTGAAATTGAACATATAGGCAAACGAGATAAAGTTGGCTCACATTTAAGGACTTCTCGCGCAGACTCCGAAATTACTAATCAAGATATATATTTTATATGCGATCTTGTCACCCCGCGCTACTAGGAAATTGAACCGATGCTAGAACAAGATGGCCACGTTGCGGCATGTTTGTATTTTGGTTGTTACAAAATAAAATATACGGTTAACAAAATCGTGGCCGGCACCAAGATATAGAAAAAGGTTGCCTCTATCATGTTTATGCGGTCTCTCACAATTAGTTATCTGAGAAGTTGTAATTTTGAAATATGAGATATTTAGCCCCGGTCTCCCTTACGCGCGGACGGAGTCGGTGCATTAATTCCGCAGTCGTCTGAGTTGCCCGAGAACGCATACGTGACCGGAATTGTCTCGCGACGGCGGGAGGCGACTCACCTGGATGACGGTGGCCAGGGGACTCTTGTTGGCTGGAGAGTCGAGACTGTCTCGGTGTGCCCAAGCGAGCGGTTCGTAGGTGCTGTGATTGGCCTGAAAAATGGTCCAGTCGCCGCCAGGAAGTGGTCCCCAGGCCGTTTCCCCCGATCTGGTTAATCGGAGAATAGGAGATGCCGCATTCAGCTGAGCATCCTGCAGGAAGAAAGAGCGACCTGATTCCGCGGTCCACACAAAAGTTTCGTCCGCCTGTTCATTTGTTCGTTCGCTCGCTCGCATGTCCTGTCTTGTTGGATTTTTTCTCGCTTTTCGAGGAGAAATCAAATTTTCAGGCGTACGATGTAGCTGCGCCTTGTTAAGCGGGAATCATTCGGACCAATTTTGCGCGCAGCGATAAAACGGCGATTTTATATTTAGAATGGCTCGCGAAATAATATTCTTCGCGAAAACGTGCGGACGCCTACTGTAACGACGTAATAGCGTAACGTGGATGTAATAGTTGTACCGCGCGAGAAGTTATTTGAAAATTCATAGCGCGTAATCACACGAGCACGCGAATAACAGAGAAAGAGAGAGAGAGAGAGAGAGAGGAAGAAAAAGAAAAAGCGAGATAGGGAGGCAAGTATACGTTAAACTGAAAATTTGATATTCCAAAACCGGCATCAAAAATGTTCTATATGTTAGGTACGATTTAGCCACCGATCGAAAATGTATGTTGCGTTTCCATACGTGTAACGAGTATCGAAAATGAAATTAGTCCAAATCCTCATTCACCGTTCCGCACTTGCGTTAAACCCGAAACGGAATCGCATCGCGGTTGTACGTTTATAGAGCAATGACATACTTCATACTGTCGTGCCCGATGAGCATACACAACGTTTAATTTCGCCAAGTTTCTGCTCCCTTTACGAGCGGCATGATCGTTACTCACGAGATATGTCATGCGTTCGAGGCACGATCGATGTTCCAAAGTTTTAAGAAGGCCGTAACTCACGAGGATAATAAGGGCAGGTGGATGCTTGATGGCGGAAAATGAAGTATCTAATAAGGTAAGCGTATCAAAAACGATTTGAGGATATGTATGTATGTATGTGTGTGCACCTCGCACAAATAACACACAGATGCGTCCGCGCGCGGCATAGTGAGCGTTCTGCCAGCCGGGCGGATAAGACACGCGTATAATACTGATTATCTTATTACCGCGGCTCGTCCTAACGCGCGCCGCGCGGGTACTACACTTTTTATTACTCCCTTTTACGGGGGTTTCTTTTTCTCATTTCGATACCAGTTTGCTGCGATATAAAGTTGATTGCTTCCCTGAAGATTGCCACTCACACAGAGGGCACCCTCCTTCTTTTTCTCTGTCTTTCCCTCTTCTGCCCTCCCTGTTTTGTACGGTCTCACGACTCTCCCGAGCGGTATTATCTGGTATTGATTGTAAAAAACGGCGCGTTCTCCTTATCGCGCGATCAAAGCAGCCGCGGTGTGGTATCTTAATGACTCACGACCGGTGTAATCATAGACGCGATACATATCGTGCAGTTGCCGCGCGTAATAACGTAACAGCTCACCTTCAACCTAAGATTCGTGTGTATAAAAAGTGGAAAGCCCTTGAGCTGAGCACCGACCAAACTCTCTTCTCCGGGCGGGGCGAAACCGACGATGCCGACCGAATATTCCCTGCAATACTTGTCCAGCAGCTCGCGATTCCACTTGTCCATCTGCAGGTACTTATTCAGGTTCTCAAAGATCAGCACCCCGTACCGACCCTTGTCGAGATTCGTCAGCACTGGCAAAGACTTGCCGGCCACCTCCACTTTGTACCTGGAATCATAATGGTGATTTCTTGTCGTTTAGACGTGTACATTGCGCACTTTTCGGAGGGAACAGCAGCCGCAGTGGGAAATGCGAAAAGTTATTTTATTTCAACATTTGGATGATGTGTTTTGCCGAAATAAATTCGTTTGAAAATTTTATTAAATCCTTTATTCAGAGATATTTCTATTTTTATTCGTTTACTTAACGATGGAATATTCAGCGGGAAGGCAGAATAGCGTATTTTCGAGATTGCGATTTCTCAGCGTCGAACACCGGCGGATGTAGACACTGCTATGAAGCAGCAAAAATCCCTTTTTTTTCGGAAACGCCGCGAGCGTCCGGAAAGTACCGCCCGCTCTGCATTTATCGTTTCCGGATGCCATTAAAACTGGAGCGATATATATCCCGCTAATCGCCTCCGGGTCTCTTTACTTAAGAATTGAGCATAGGGGGATGTGGACTTTCGCAAACTCCGCTTAGGTACGCATTATTCTTGCGGAGCTTATATATAAGGTAAGCACCGCCCGGAGTTAACGTGTTCTTTAAAATGGAATAAATTTCCTCTTCTTTTCTCCCACAGTCCCTTTCTCCCTCGCTCTCCCGCGCTGTTTCAATTCTTTCTCTCTCCTGCTCGCTGGCCGCCGATACTTTGCGCGCTCTTCCTCCCGCTTTTCCTGCCAGCGCAAATATTTCACGGCAAATATTTAGACGAAAACGCTGGCCACGCGAGACACAGCCGTCAACGTGTGTTTTGACAATTTCAATCCGATGGTGTTTCGGATGTTTAAAGTGGGAGCCATAGTAAATAGAAGTGAAATGGAATATCGATAAAAGAAGTAGTCCGGTGAGACTGCCGGTATTGTTAAACGATAAAACTGAGACACTTTATATCGAAATTCCATTTGTATGTACCGTCCGAAACGCTGCGCGAATAATAAAGCAATTACACGTATGATGCTTGTTTCTCTATCTGTATCTCTCTGTACGCTGAGATAGATTGAGATACACTCAGTATGGAGATTTATTGTGTTGCTCCCCTCTTCTTTTTTCGATAACCGTATCACGGCACCACCGAGCCGCGTTTAGTCTTATCTGGATATTTTTACATCCACTGCGTTCTCTCGATGGCAATGAAAAAAAAAAAGAAAAAAAAAACAGAGCGACGGGTCGTACCTCTGTTCTGAGCGCGATAAAATGATTTTATTGCGGAAATAAACCGACGGGGGCTCCTCGTCGATCGTACCGATGGATTTCTCTCATATCCTGTCGCGTCGTAAAGAGATGGCGCGGATATCAAATTTATTGGAGATGCAGCCAGAAAACACACACGCGCGCGCGCGCGCAAAAAGAGGGGAGACAGGGGAAAAATACGCTATCTGCCAATGGTAAGTTCGATTTTTTTAGCAGATTTGGGGAATGGAAACCATGTTTCGATCGTAAAGTCGCGATGAAATAAATATTCAACGGTCGAGCGCGAAGTTACACTCTCTTCCCCTCTCTTTCTTTCTCACTCTCTATTTTCTCCTCCTCTCTGTTATTTGTAACGTATCGAGACTAACGTCGAAATTTATTACACACCGATAAATTCCGCTCCGTTCGTTTGCTTTAGCGGTCCGTAACCACGTTACAACTAGAGTAATTACGTCCAATCATCGACGATGGAGTTCCCATGGCAAATATTTGATGCATTAGTAAACGTGGGATATTATTTCGACTAGAGCCCTTGTTACTCGAGAATATTGCATGAGAATATTCGCTAAATATCTGCAATCTCGACGACGTATGCGGCAACTTTGAAGAATGAGAGAGAAAGAAAAGCAGAAGAGAGGTAGAAAGAGGACATAAAGAAGCAATAATATGTCGGTATCGACATTTGGAAAATATCGCTGTTCAAAAACTTGGCGAACTATATTCGGGCTACAGTAAACAATTTCGAGCGACACACAAACGCATGCAGCACGCAAACCTGAAGGGTTTACGTGAATCAATATCAACGATAGTCAGGCGACTCGTGTATGTGTTTGTCAACTGTGATAAATATTTGTGTCAAATAACATCTGTGTTAATCGAGTAAACCGTTTCCAAGTTACCTCGGTTATATCGAGGAAAAAGAGAATGGTTACGTCAACCAGAACATAGTTTTTCTTTCTTTCTCGCTTCAAGAATCAATTCCTAGTTGTGCTGACCTACTAATTCGTTGCCTCAAAAATGTTTTTTTTTTTTCAAGGAACGAAAAATTATAATGCTAATGTATAATGTTGCATAAGTCAAGCAAGATAAGCAAGAATTGGTTACTGAAGCAAGAAATAAAAACTGCCACACGGAAAAAAAGATTTGGTTAAATTAACCAAATATCTGATCGAATATGAACGATTCAGAAATTTCGATTGAAGTAATCCGAATTCTGTTTAAGTCAACCCAAAATCTTGTTAGCTTAAGCAGAATTTGGGTTACTTCAATCGGAATTCTGGATTGTTCATATTCGACCAGATATTTAGTTAATTCAACCAAACCTTTTTTTCCGTGCATATTTTACTATTTTTTGGTTAACACAATTATTCTTTTTTTTTCGTGTACAATTGAAAGAAATGCTATTTTGAGAATAACATGTCTTATAATGAATTCTTTTTCAATTTTTTGTACATCAAGATTTTGTTAAATGTACTTAACAGACATATATGACAAAAGATTTATACTCTTGTTAATTTACAACTTTTTACAATTCTCTCTCTCTCTCTCTCCAAGTTTTATCTAATTTTTACTCCTGTCAGAATCCTGTAACTGCTCAAAGCAGAATCCTGATATACCGTATCGACATACGGCCCGTATACAATTTCCATTCATCGAATTCAAAGAGTTCGTCGCACTCTTCGGCGTGAAATTATTTGATAACTTCCTCGCGAAGTTTCCTCGCGACCTGCTGCAAAACCGGTGTGTGCAGACAGTGGAACGAATAGCAATGACGAACGGCAAAAATCCGAGCGTCATCGAGACACACATTAGGAGGAAGGACGCTCGGCGCGCACGGAATATTAACATTCGCAATCTTAGGCACCAAATTTGAATATGATTTACCGGATGGCTCCCTCATAGAGACGCTTCTCGCTCGGTGTAGTTAGCACTAGTTTAGCACTTATGCTATTAATGCGCAATTTACTGGTTTCGCGCGCAATGAAGATAAATGACTCCGGCGTGGTGCAACGACACGGCCCGGCGCGGCGCGACGCGGCGCTGCACGGCGGAGCTGATGCGTTCTGAGAGTTAAGGGGACCAAGAGTAATCCACCTAATGTAATAGTTTTACAATTAGACGGGAGCATTATTGGGTTGCAGGCGCTGTAATTGACTTTATTTTCGCGTTAACGGATTGTCGCGCGCGAACACCTGTGTTAGCGAGTATCGACACAAGAATAGCCGGATGAAGCGTCTGCTGTTAATTCAGACCAGAAATATGGATACCAGTTTGCTGCAAGGGGAAAATTATGATACTTTTGGGGTCACTAGAGGCTCTCAAGAAAAATTTACCCCAAATAACTTCTTGCGCAAAATATGATATGAACAGTTGAGTGTAACTTTTGATCAATTTTTTGTTACATCTATGCAAATAATTTACGTTATTATATAATGCAAATTTAATAATCTATTCAATATTGTTGTATTTACTTTTTTTTATCTAAATATAATTAAAAGAACTGTAAAGTTTCCATTATCGATTGTTTCACGTGATAATCATGAAAGTTCATCCAGAGCGATGCTATTTGTGCAGTAAGAATAAATTAACCAAACAACATCAAATTAAGGTAATTAATTGAATTATACCAAAATAAAAAGTATCGATATTTATATATTAAGAAGTATAATATATTAAGAAGTGACAGACTTGAAGGAATGAAGCACATTATCAGCTATTTCATAGATGACTATGATAACTTAGGAACAGAGATATGCTAATGTCAAATGTTGCTCTGTCACACTTTAGGAGGAGGCGACATATAGGAGAAACAAGACATGTCAAAAGAAAGAGAGAATTACATTGTTCACGTAATTCGTTCTTCCCATCAATTAGACAAGGAAAACATCTCACTATCATTGCTCTCTCTTTCTCTTCTTTTTCTTACTAATGCTGACTTCATTCCTCCTAAGGCAATGTCAGTCTATAGTTTACAGTCTATGGGTATAAAGCCGAAGAAGCTCCAGAGCGGAAATATCCGAAATATCGTAACTGATCCCTTACTACCAATCAGATCGTCCCTCGCAGAATGATCTGTACAGATATGACGAGCGACGGAAAATTCGAATTGAACTAATGAATGTCGGATAATTTACCAAAGTAATCGATTCGATAATTGGTGACCGCCCATTAACGACGAGTTAGCCAATTTACGGGGCTAACGAACAGTCATAACGAACCGTCCGACGCGACCCTTTTGTTCTTGGCTAACAATCGAAATCGCCGGCTGCCAAATACACCCGCGCTCGCTTGCGCCACGCACGCGTCACGTGAAAGATCCGCGAAAGCGAAATTCAGAAGTATCGATTGGCAGCGCGGAGTTCTCGATCGCGAAACGATGGAACGTCCGTACGTGCCGTGGGTGCCGGAGAATTTGTACTTGGATCGTGCGCGCCCGGGTAGTTTCATTAATTATATTTCCAACTCGTGTCTGAAAAGTTCAGGCCACTTCCAGGGGCGACAGGGAACTTTCTTGTCCCTCTCTCTTTCTCCTTCTCTCTCTCTCACTCTCTGTCTCAGGCGAAGATTGAATTAAGTTTAATTAATACGGAGCGGAAAGATAAAAATGACGTGGGCGCGTCGAGGGTGCTTCGATGATATTGCGCGCGCGTCGAACGTGTTATCGGAGTTGATGGCGCTATTGATTGAGGACGAGATCGGGAACGAACTTCCGTTGTTATCTGGCGCTTTCATTTTCTACGCACGTCGCCGGCTCCGCCGCCGCGCCACATCCAGTGCCCTATATCGGGGGCCGGGGGATTAACGTTAATCGATAT